GGCCCAGGTGTCCTTGCCCCCCCCCCCCCCGCCTGGAGGCACTCGCAGCAGCTCTGCATACTAGGCCCAAGTGTCTTTGGCCCCCCTGCCTGGAGGCACACACAGCAGTTATGCTGAGAATCTGCAACAATATGCTGCAGAGTCAGACTGCCTGAAACTAAACAAGGCCAAACAGGGCAGATATGGAAGAACAATGCTGAATAAAGCAGCTTTATGTATAGTTTAACAAATGATACAGAGAAGCAGGGAACTAGCTGGGAACTGGATTGGCTGGCTATATGGATACTTGGGGCAGCTTGCTATTGGATAAGTATGCTGGGAAAAAGGATGTATAAAAGCCTGTGTAACTTCCTGCTCTGTGTACAGGATTTGAGATTCAAATCTCCCTGTACCTATTTGAAGCTTCGAATAAACTTTTCTGCTTCTCCACCCCGTTGTGATTATTGGGTGTAGCACATCGGGTAACGAACCAACTCAAGCTGTTGTTCAGCCTCTCGGCACTGGGTGCCGGCAACAAACTTTTACTATTTGATACAGTGCCAGTAGTTGTTGTGCATGTAGAAGACGAGTAATACGCCAAGGATTATTTTTCTGCTGTGTTGGTTGGATTCTTAAATTGCCTGTGGCTTTTTTAATGTTGGAGGAGAATTTATTCTACTGTCTGTGTGGAATACATCAGTAGTCAGATCCAAGTGCCATAAACTGTGTGCAGAGAGATTAAAGGATGATTGTGATAAGGAGGTATAAGGAGATGTCTGATGCTTTCTTTTCCTTTGTTTAGGCTTATTATTTCCAGAAAGTGAAGTAAATAAGAGCTGTTTGGGGAGACTTGTGTATTTTAGATTTTCAATTCTCTTGAAAAATTTTTGAAGCTTGATGTCAATGGAGATGTTTTAAATCTTCAACCCACCCAACCCAGCTGCTGTTTTCAGGAGTCCCAAGTTAAAAGAGAAAGAGAGAGAGAGAGAGTGTAAATGTATATAGCAATGTTTTTCTTGCTATTTCTTGTCTGTGACAGATGTCAACTTGCTCCTACCTCTGCCTAGCAGATAGTCATACCATCCCAGCCATGTAGGAGGAGTGGGAAAGAAGACAAGTCCCTCAGCAGTAGTGAGGAGGTGGAGACTAGGGGCTTCTCTACTTCACCAAGTTTTGTTGACAAAACTTATGTCAACATCCCAAAGTCGACAAAACAAAAATCGCCAAAGGGTGTTCATGCTTGCTCCCTCGGTCGATAGATCATGCCCACATTGGGGACACCCTCATCGACAGGGTGAGCAATGCACCATGGGTATATATCCCACAGTGCAGTGTTGTGGGAAGGAAGAGCTGATCGCTGCACATCTTGGGATTCTCTCCCAGTTCTCCCACAGCCCCCTCAGAGGCCAAGAGCAGCATCATGAGTAGCTCTGCGAGATGTCCATGCTGAGGAATGGCATAGCAGTGTGTCCCAGTCTGCCTGCTGCTATGCCATTCCTCAGCCTGCAGGGCAGGACAGGAGCATTCCAATGATTTGCTCTTTTTTTGTTCCCCAAACGGAGCAGCACACATATACTTCCCGGAGCTTTGAAAGGGGAGGGGCATATACCTGCAGGGCATCAGAGATCAAAACACCGAGCAGAGCAATCAGGGAAGGCATTGTGGGATACTGGCGGAAGCCAGTTCTGTCGACAAAACAATCAGCAGTGTCTACACTGGCTCTTTGTTGACAAGAAAGGGAGGGAAAAAAAGACAAAAGTCTTTCGTAGGGGTGGAAGTGTTTTGTCACCAAAACTGGGCATTTTTCTTGACAAAAGCCCCATTGTAGTGTGTATGTTCTTGCTGTTTTGTCGCCAAAAGGCAGTTTTTGGTGACAAAACTTGCCAGTGTAGAAAAGATTACCTACATTTACCTCTTCTCTTTCACCTTGCTAGTAGCAGCTAAAATAAGTAAAACAAACAAAACAAAACAAAAAAACAGGTACCAGTGCAAGGCAGAATATGGCAAAAACCACAGATATGAGTGTGAGGAACATTATTGTTTTTGTTTTATGGTAGCAAATTAGGGTGGCTCTTCAATACCATCTGGAATAAGTCCATGAAGCAGTTTGTTCATGCAGTTCCAGCAGGCAGCTCCACAGAGTGTTGTACTTTACTTCATTAGAAAAGAAATATGGGATGGTGTATCTCTTCAGTACGAAAGAAACAGTTCTTTGATATTTAATATAACTGTCTGTGGTAAGCTGTGTAAGCGGAACATTTGCAAGAACTTTGTGAATCATTACAAGTAAAGGGGCTGTGAGAATTGGTGGCACTCAACACCACAATCAGTGTGTTTACGTAGTCAAAATGATTGCTGAAACATTAGTGTTGAATTGTAGTATTATTATGTCGTTGCAAATCTGCATTGCTAGACTTGCTACCTTTAACTAATGAGTCAGCAAATGAAGGAAAGAACATGTGGTCCAGCAAACAGGAATGAACTAGTTTAAGTTTCAGTTTGCTCCTGGACCTTATACTTTCTCCATTAGAGAGCCACAGCAGGAACTGTAAAAATTTCTCATCTCAGGACCTATTCTGGCTAACAGGTTCTACAAACACATAGGGATAGTCTATAGAAATGTTGGATCAGACTACTACAACTAGTATTAATGCCTCACAGATTAGCCATCCACTTCTATTAAGCTCATCACTCTAATATACAGATGTCCTAATTTCTACATTCTGAATTGTTCAGGATCATACGAGAGACAGAGAGACTTGGTTAGACTCTAAAATCCAAAACAATAGGAGGGGTTGCAGGATTGGACAGTTACACAGTAGTCCAAATCAGTGAAGCTATAATGATTTACATCATTGAGGATCTGGCCTTATTGCTTAAATCTTATGAGCAGATCTCACTGCACCTGAACAGATCGCTGAGAGTAAATGTAGGACCCCAGAAAGGTGTTCTACAGTAACATTTCAGGGTGAACTCATTGCAAACAGAGACTGTTTTAAGAGTAGTTGAATAATTACATTAACAACATCAATTATAGGATGTCAAAACAAACTCATTACAATGGTGTTGCTCAAATCAGTAAATAAGGGAACAGGATCTGAATGCTATCATTACTAACTGATTTTTGAGGGTATCTGAAATCACTAAAGTAACTGCATTGGAAATTACCATGCATCAATTAGCCAGCCCACTCCTTAACTACTTAAGAATTGTTATGATGAGAATCAGTAATGGCACATACAGTGACTGCATCAAAAAGTCGACATTTGTCAACAGTTGCCATGCAGCGGAGCCTACCCAACATGCCGCAATATGTCTGTGTCCTTGGAATACAAAATAACCATCAATAACTGTGATGTCTGGTGACTTTTTAAATTAACACCAGTGTACCCCCACTGGCTATCATTGACCCAGCAAGAAGGGTTTAGTGGCCAGAAGGGAACACTGTGACAATCTAGTTTGCCTCCTGTATAACACAGGCCATAGAACTTTCTCAAAATGATGCTTGTTTAAGACAGGATATTTTTCTAAAAGATATGGTCTGTCTTGATTTAAAAATTGCCAGTAATGAAGAATCTACCACAACCCTTGATAAGTTGTTCCAATAGTTAATTACCCTCACTGTGAAAAATGTGCGCCTTATTTCCAGTCTGAATTTGTCTAGCATCTGCTTCCAACCACTAAATCTTGTTATATGTTTAACTGCGAGTTTGAAGAGCACTTTATGAATTATATGCTCCCCTGTAGGTTCTCACAGACTGTGATCAAGTCATCCCCTTAACCCTCTCTTTGTTAAGTGAAATAGATTTTGCTCTGTGTGTCTGTTTTCTAATCCTTTCATCATTCTTGTGGCTCTTCTCTGAACCCTCTCCAGTTTTATCAATATTCTTCTTGAACTGTGGACACCAGAACTGAACCCAACATTCCAGCAGCGGTCAAACTAGTGCCAAATACAGAGATAAAATAACCTCTCTACTTTTACAACAGGGTCACCTGTTTATGCATCCAATACACATATTAGACCTTTTGGCCATAGCATTGCACTGGGAGCCCAAGTTCAGCTGATTATCCACCATCACCCCCAAATCTTTTTCAAAATCATTGCTTTCCAGGAGAGAATCTCCCACCTTGTAAATGACAGGTTTCAGAGTAACAGCTGTGTTAATCTGTATTCGAAAAAAGAAAAGGAGTACTTGTGGCACCTTAGAGACTAACCAATTTATTTGAACATAAGCTTTCGTGAGCTACATCCGATAAAGTGAGCTGTAGCTCACGAAAGCTTATGCTCAAATAAATTGGTTAGTCTCTAAGGTGCCACAAGTACTCCTTTTCTTTTCACCTTGTAAATGTGGCCTACAATCTTTGTCTGTAGATGTATAACTTTACATTTGGACATATTAAAACATTATTTGCTTGCACCAGTTTACCAATCATAATAACGTTAAGCAGTTTTCTAGATTAAATTCACTATACTTAAATCACAAGCTAAAGGAAACAAGAGGAAAATATAGTAGAAAAGCACTTAACGAGAAAGTCATGAAGCTACTCTACCCTACCCTATCCTACCATTAAAAAATCAGTATTTACCAACAGTTAACACATTGGTTAACACACTGGTATCTAAAGTACCAAAATTATTTCCTGTTTAAGTATAAAGAAAGATTGTAGTAGCTCACTATCTCTTGTCACATACTGACTTTCAGTGACAAGAGCAGTATCAAAGGTCTTTCATGCTTTATCAGCCAAGCTGCAGAAGAACTATTAGTGAAGTATGGCACGTCTCAAGAGGAGAAAAAAGATACAATCAAGTGTTTGTTAACACTTCCTTATGTAGAATAAGTCCCAAGGGAAACAGTGATCCTGTCAGGTTTTTGTTTATGATGGGCCTATTTTGATTCTTTCACCTTGTTGATGAAAAAAAAATTTAAAGCATAAATTACCTATCTCTGTCTAAAGTGAGATAGAGTTTAACATACTTAATGTGGCTGTGAAATTGTCTTGTATTCATAAATTAGACTTACCAGAATGAAGAGGCAACGAGAGGAAAGTTTTGCATGCTCAGGAATGGTAGAAAACACTGACAAAATCAAGCAACCAAATACAAGAAGAAAACTGAAAAAGAAAAGAATATTAAAGAATTAAGAACAGTGAATAAATATGTCCATCAATTCTGCATTTCACAAATAGGAGCATTTAATAAAATGGCACTATATTGTGTTAAGTAACAAAGGAATTTTGGTAGAATTATATACAGTATTTATAAATTTACAAGTTTCTAAACAGAAATATAAATAAAGGGTAATCGAATTAAAGGAAATAACACAAGAATCTTTCTCCATGAGATGCATGAGCTACCTCTTGGTGCTCCAATCTGGGAAATATATCCATTCTAAACTAGTGTCTAATGCTGGGTGATATTTTTTTGAACAAAATGTTTTTTAATGGGAAACCCCCCCACAGATTTGGGTTGCTCAAAATATTTTTAAAATGTGGGTTGAATTTGCCAAATTGTTCTGGTTGAAAAAAGTAATTCTGAAAAAGTCAAACATTTTGTTTCACCATTTTTGAACCTGAATATTTCCACTTTGATTCCAAATGAGTTTTTGTTTCAAATTTTACTTCCATTTTATTTTTATTTTTTGTAAGGTAAAAAAACACTCCCAAAAGAAACCAAACATTTTGTTTGTTTGACCAAAACATTTTTTTCCAGTTCAGCCACTGTCTCAAAAAAAAAAAAATCATTTATTCACACAGCTCTACTAGTCTTAGGGGTTTTGAAGAACGACCATCAATTAGGCTTTTCCATAATCTGAAAGATCCCTTGATATTTGCCACAAGACTTCTCCAGTGCCACCTAAGGTAGGTCAAAGACAGCAAAGTCACAGACTCTGTGTCTCACTGCCATGTATGGCAATTGGGCACATCCCCTGATGCTATGACTGTAAGGTGTCATTTGAAAATTATCACATTTTGAAAAGAGAAAATAAAACCTGATGCAAAATCCTCACTAAGTATTTTTCCAGTCAAAGAAAGGAAAGATCTATCTCGGCCACAAGCTGACTATTCAAGTTAGAGCTGAGTATTCACAGACCAAGATTCAAGGAAGGAAACTATTACATTTAATAGTATAACAAAATGATGGCAAAATTGCAGGGGAAATTTGGATTGCCATTTCCAAGACATGGATTTCTAGAGGACAAATAGGCAGCCCCTGCTTACTGCACATTATGAGATTTTGAACAGCAGTGTATTCTGAGATTTTTTTTATTGCAGATGACACAGATAAATGTAGAGTATATGTTTGAGTTATATGTCATATAAAATTAATGTATAAGAAGCTAATTATATATTACTTCTGAGCTAGTATGATCTTAATGATGCAGACAACTCTCTACAAAATGTATCCAAAGTATAACAATAAGATGACTTTCTGTAAACTGGTTGACTCACAAAAATAATTTGCTATATTTTTCTTTGCAATTGGCATTTTTAAGCAAAATGTTGTATTAGTATTTCTATAATGAAATTTTGTATTGCATTTTAAGTAGATATTGAATAAGAGTCAAATTCTGAAGTCCTTACTATGTTAATACTCAGATCCTATTCCATAAGAATTTCCATGGAGTTTTTCCTGAATAAGGTCTGATTATTAACAGAGTAAGAACTTCAGGCTTTGGCTCTGTATAAGCAGAATAAATAACATAACTATGATTCATGGAGAGACAAGGTGGGTGAGGTAATATCTTTCATTGGACCAACTTCTCTGACTGAGAGAGACAACAGAAGTTGGTCCAATAAAAGATATTACCTCACCCACCTTATCTCTCTAATATCCTGGGACAAACACAGCTACAACTACACTGCATATGACTGATGGAGTTCTATTGGATGTTCTGGGTACGTAACAAACCAGAAGAATAAAGTTCAAGTAGTTTGTGTAGCCCCACAATAGAATTTATAGGGTCAGATTCTCCCTCCAAGCAGTGTAATCGGGAATAACGTCATTGAAATCTTCCAGACATCTGTCTGTATAGATGTTTATATGGCATTGGCTATCATCTCTGTTGTATCTGCTCATCAGTTGAGTTACACTCACTGCATAAACCTCATGTGAGTGAGTGGAGAATCAAGTTCACATTCTCCCTTTCAAAATTTGCCTAACTGTACATCTACGAATACGCCCTGGCTGTTGCTTTCTACATTTCTGTATTGTTTTTACTTCCCTTCCCTTCCCCTTGTTGGAACTGCACTTCTCCTTCACTTTGTTACAGTCTGTTACCGCTGCCCTCAGCTCCCCCTTCCTGTGGTCAACTTTCCACCTTTATTTTCGTCTTGTGGTCTACCTCTCCATTTCTATGTACATCTCCTCTTCTTCATGTTTGTTCATCACCAGAGCAGCCTCTGCTCCTCCTCTAGTGGCCTGGCCTTGGCTACTGATGCAGGTGCTGCTGGAGCAACTTTCCCCTTTTACTCTGATGACAGTTACTAGACATTTGGCAAGCAACAGGCTAAGCTGTAGCTGTGAATTAGGAGTATTTTTCCACTGTGCTTAGCACTGCAGTCCCCGTCTTATTCTATATTCTCATATACTGAACATGTAATTTTCTGATCTTTTGCTGCAAATGGATGATTGTGACTTTTTGTTGTATTAAATGTTTTCGTTGAAAGCAACAGACCTCAAGTACAGATGCAATTCTAGAACATGATCCAAATGCAATACTGTAAAGACCTTTAGGACATTACTTTCTTAAATGACCAGTGTCCACTTTGTGTATTGTATGATTTTAAGCCTATCAGTTAAAACAAGGGAATCTAGATGAGTTACCAGATTGACAGGACTAGAAACAAAAGCCCTCTATTTATACCCAGAACTAGTTCAGCACTGGTAAAAACATCAGTACAGTGTTCTGCAGATTGACCAATGTACCAGGGCCCAGCTGCCTCCCAAGCACCTCTTCATGGCCAGGGACGGCTCTGCTGCACCCTGCCTCAGTTTCCCCTCAGCCTCCTCAATAACTCACAAAACAGCCCTTCTTGGGGTCTGGTTTATTAAAATAAAGTTCAAAATAATTCACGCTGTCCTCAAAGTCCCAAAATAATTCAAGCAGCCTCTCCTACTTAGAGTCTGGCTCAGAGACATCAGCAGGCAAAACCTCCCCTCTGCTGCTCCCCTGTTGTTTCAGGGTCCCATAAAGAGCCCTGCCCCACTTCTTGCAAGCTTCTTACTATGGGTTTTTGTATCTACAGCTTTTTGTGGCTTCCAGGCCCAAAGTTTTCCCCCTGATCATGGGTCTCCTGAAAGAGCCTTTTGCTCATTGCAGCTCTCTCAGACTCTGCCAAAGTTTCCTCCCTCTATTTCCAGTTCCCTTCTGGCTCTTTATAGAGACCAGCAGCTCTCTATCAGGCCCCCTGTAGAGGCTGTTGGTGAGGCACAGATGGGCTGGACCAGTTCCCTCTTAAAGGGCCCAGTCCACCCTGTGACACCCAGCTTACGTGTTTTAATTTGTGATATCAATGAGAACGCATAGATAGTGCAAGGCACGGACAAATCAGTTACTCAAGCTGTAGCGCAAGGAAGATGTAATGATCATATACAGTTAAGGAAATTCTTGCATATTCCCAGGCGTGTTCCTTAAAACATACGGTACATGAAAGGGTTAGCATTGGCCCCAGGGACCTCTGCCAGGAATGATGAGGAAATTTATTCTCTGTGATCCTTACTTTGCTACTAAGAGTGCTAATTAGGCTGGTATTTTTGTTATGTGAACACCTGTTCTCTAAGGGCTTGTTTACATGGTGCAGCAATGTGCTCTGTAGGGATGTGATTTCTAAAGCGCACTAATGTGCTCTGCACTAATTGGTCCACGTTAACCCTGCTGGAGCACCCTAAAAGTTCCCTAATGCACTTTATCATAGTGCTGTTTGAAACAGTGCTTGATGCACACCCATCAATGCACAACATGCTAGTGCACTTTAGGAATCATACTCCTGTGCAGCTCACTACCCCATCACATAGACAAGCCCTAAAAATGCATCAAGACAACAGCTCACTTCATACAACCATAAACTGGCTACAGCCACTACAGCCATAATTTAAAATTACAGACATTTGGGCATTACGCATACTAGTGCTTATACTGTTTTGCTAAGTGATCATCCTCAATAGTATCGATATCCCACTCTTCTGTGAACATTTGTCAATCACATTTGTACTACAGCACGCTGAAAAAGGACCCTGCATATGGATGCAGGGTTTCTTTGCTGACTCATCCTACTGTCAGGTGCTTTAACCCTGCGTGAAGATGCAGTGCAATTAATACTGAGTTAGACAGGCAGGAAGATTCAGGCAGTTTCCCCAGGCCACCAGGGGGCTTAAAGCCTCTCTCGGGGCAGAGAGAAACAGGGCCTGGGACAGAGGATGTTCTACTGGGAAAATGAGTGAACAACCAAGCTCAGCAGATAGCTGAGGTTTATATATTTTTTTAAATTGTTGTTCGAGTTACAAATAAACCAAACCCAAGGAAGAAAGTACATGTTTGTTTGGACTCTAGAGAGAATAGGCATAGGTATGCGCCTTTTTTGGACTATACAAGACATACTGGCATTCTAAAGTAATAGAGATGAAGGATATAAACCATAACGTCACACTGCATCTTTTCATATTGAAAATTGTTTTTAATTAACCACTTCACTGCTCTTCTGCTACACTGTGTCCTGTGTTTACTGATATTAAGAAAACCTGGTGTTCACGCATGATACATGCTGGAATTGTTTTCATATTTGTTAATCAAATCTGAGGAAACACCTTTTTATAGCATTTAATACACTCAATGAAAACAAATTCCACTCTGAAGATCAATTCCAGGAGGAACCTGCACATAAACTCTTTTCCGAAGTATAGAAAAAGCAAATATTTGAGAAGCAATAGAATTTTATGACATGCAGAAGGGCAAACTAGTCCATTTCACACCCTCAGCCAGCAGGCAGTTTTCCAGCCACCACACAAAACCCCCAAACCAATAACAGATATATATTTCAACCTTCAGAGAGTGACGTTCAAGAGGCAAAAATCCACCACATGCCCCTCTTGCTGTCTTTATTTAGATAAATGT